AGGCTTGGAGGAGGGCAAAACAGTGATATTTATTTATTATGATAATTCAGATTATATAAGATGTTTTCCTCCTTGTCCTCAAACTCCAAAACTCTCCCAAGATTCCAAAAGATTGGATTGACTTCTTGTGCCCCTCATCAATTTTCATTATGCTGCTGCACTTCCAGGGTGAAGTGCTGAAATACGAAGAGCAAAGCTGTTCTCTCACCAGTTCTAGCAATAACCTTTTAGGAAATCAAAGTAAAATCAGTTCCCTTACAATACATATTTTCTTGGATGTTACAGTTGTTCCTAAGTGCTGGGATCCATGCAGTGGCTTATTTTTACACAGCTGCTACTGAAATCCATGTACTTATTTATTATCGCATGGACACTTAGGGTATGTCTACACTACATGGCTCCATTGACAGAGCCATGTAGATGAGCTCTGCAGACATAGCAAAATGAAGCGGTGATTTAAATAATTGCCACTTCATTTACATCAAAATGGCTTCTGCGCTATGCCAATCAGCTGTTTGTCGGCACAGCGCAGTAGTCTGGACACTCAGCGGTCGACATCAAAAGCCTTTGTCAACCACCCTGGTAAACCTCATCCCACGTGGCATGGGCAGTTGACAAAGGCTTTTGACGTCTTTTCAACTACTACCGCGCTGTGCCGACAAACAACTGATTGGCACAGCGTGGCAGCCATTTTTATGTAAATGAAGCGGTGATTATTTAAATCGCCGCTTCATTTTGGTAAGTCTACAAAGCTCATCTATATGGCTCCGACGACGGAGCCATGTAGTGTGAACATACCCTTACACTGGCTTATTAGAAATGGAATGTCCACATCCCACTCATCTGAAAGCAGAATGCTTTAATAAATTAAGCCTCACAAAGACATTTGAGATGCAGGTTTCTATCATTTCAGATTTGTATCCCAGTTAAAAGAAATCAGTTCTACAGTATCATAAAGAACTCGTCCAGATGGGGACATTTTGTTCAGTGATTCCTCTGCAAGACAATCTGAACAGGTGCCCCATCAGTATCTTGTGCCTGCAGACACAGATTCTGTTCAGTTCACTCAATACAAACTTAGGTTTTCATTTGCCATGTTGCTCAGGGATCTAATGAAAAGAAGCAGCTTGGAAAATTGGATTCATGTCCAAATTTAAGTAGAAAGTCTGGTCTCTTGAAGGTTTATGTACAGAGCTGCTTACAGAAGGGAACTGATGTAATTGCAGCCCTCCACCTCCACATCCTTTTCATCAAAGAAGGAATTGACTTGCTGATCAGGCACTGGCAAATGGCCCATTTGGCAGCTAAAAAATTGAGTCACTGAAAATTAGTTAAGACGTGGACTTAATTCAGAATTTGACTTTGGATTAGAACACCCTCCCTTCTCCCCCGTTAAGCACTGTCAGCAATTTAAGAGAGAATGTTTTATGACAGTTCACTGATGCTGGTGCAGATGTTCATTTAGTCTGCAGAAGAGAAGAGTGAGGAGGGATTTGATAGCAGCCTTCAACTTCCTAAAGGGAGGTTCCAAAGAGGATGGAGAGAGGCTGATCTCAGTAGTGACAGATGGCAGAATAAGACACAATGGTCTCAAGTTGCAGTAGGGGAGGTCTAGGTTGGATATTAGGAAAAACTATTTCCCTAGGAGGGTGGTAAAGCACTGGGATGGTAAAGCTCCATCCCTAGAGGTTTTAAAGTCCTGGCTTGACAAAGCCCTGGCTGGGATGATTTAGTTGGGGTTGGTCCTGGGTTGGGCAGGGGGCTGGACTCAGTGACCTCCTGAGGTCTCTTCCAGTCCTAGGATTCTATGATTCATTATTATAAACAAATTAAATGAATTCCTGTTGTCAGGGGGACCCAGCTAAAGCCGCATCAGAGTGTTTGGGAAAGCCCTGTAAATCTGATCTTTGGCTGAAGACACTTCCTTTATCCAACTTACATTCCCATGTCACCAGAAGAGAGGGGGACTGGGGGGACATATTATTGGAAAGGCCTTCTTGAAGGAAACTGTCGTTGGTGCCTGTGAATACATGTTTGAGCTGAACACTCAAGTCCATGGAGATGCCTTGCTCCACCCTTGGTGTCAGGAACCTACTCATTTGACATAGCGAAAGTCTGTCAATATCACATAATATGCCCCAAAATAGGATTACACCTATGCAAAGGAATTATCCCACGTATACTGAAACACTAGCACCTGCCCTACAGGTGGGAAAGTTTTGTGGCAAGCTGCAGATTTCCTATTTATCCTTGAAGTCAATTTGCATGTATGCTTTCCTATGCAAATGGAATACAGGCAGACAAGATTGTATGGCCACTTGCCACTAGGTTGTGCTCAGATGCTAACACCATCTTCAAAACCATTGCACCACTTTTGGCTTCACTGACCAGAAACTCAGTATTTCCTATGAAGTTCTATAAAAAATGCCACAAAGGATTCAGGGTTACATTAGATGAAGTCAGATTGCGACAGGCAGAATATGGGTTCATTGTATGAACAAATTTGAGAACAATATTCTTCCAGGCTAATAAGCCAGTTTTCCTTCTCCACTTAACAGTTACATGCTCACCCAGTACCTGAGCATGTGTTCACCCAACCCTGAGGAAGACCAAAGGCTAAAGTGATGGACCATTTGAATTTGCTAAGTGCCTCAGAGAGTAGATGTGAGTGCAGAAAGGTTCTCTTACATTCAAAGAGCAACACAAATAGATTTTTCTGTGACATGTTTCACCCATGCTAGTTGGTGGTTATATTTTGGGAAAACCCTGCACAGCACAGGCTGATTGCTCAGGGTAAGGGGCTTATCAGAGTTCCTGTCTCACTTATAACCAAAGTCAGGCCACATGAAAATACTGGCTCTGCATCCAGATCCAGCTTCCTAAAGCTCAGATCTGAAGCCTCCTATCTGCTGTGTCCCCACTAGAGTTATAAGTAGAGAAGGTCCCAAACCCAAATCCTAGACCTGAACGTTCCTGAACTTGATTCCAAAATCAGACCCAGCTCAGTACTTTGCAAGTGGCCAGCCTCTTTCTCTCTCTAATAGGCCAAATTAAAACTCTGGATCCAAAAACTCAAGTTTGAGGGACTGAAACCTGCATTCAGAATTCCCAGCATCACACGATCCTAGAGCTCTGTTAAGAGAGAGGCTGTTTAGAAAGGATGCACAGGCATCTGTCTGCTTTTTAGATGTTTCCTCCATATCCCTGCAGAACAGAGAACAAGTTTCATAATAAAAGTTGTTTTCACTCCTGGAAAGCAGGTGGCTAGCACACTAGTGAGTTCTTAATGGAGCCTGGCAAAGAAAAGAAGAGTGGGTTACTTCTACTCAGATTAATGTTTTTCTCACTCTTGGGATTTTGGCATTAGCTGCTTTTTCATGCTGCCTCCAGTTGGGATGCTCACCAGATTATCAGTGGGTATGAGGTGAGAGGGGAGAAACCCAAACATATGGAAAGCATGCGAACAAGACACCTTGGTGTTCTCTCTCAGAGACACATTTTCAAGAGCTATGAGTGGACTATGTTTTCCTAGTGTGGAGGCAGAAAGGAAAAAAAATCCTGACAAGGGATGACTGGCTTCCTTCTAGTTAAAAATGATTTATATGGGTTATAATTATGATAGAAGACTTGGCATAATGAATCAGGTAACTGGTTCATCAATGTCTCCATCCTGCCTCCCACAGGGACTAATACCTTATGCTTCGAGGGAAGCTAAACAGGCGCGTGCACATATCACCCAGCTGTGCAAATCTCCGCATAAAGGCAGAAAGCAACCTGTTTTAATCATTGCTCCCAGCAGCTTGATTTGGTTAACTGGAACCCTGGTCCAGAATTATCCCTGGTGTAACAGCATTGACCACATTCAATTTGACCCTTTGCTAAATTCACCTGTGTATAATTCATGTTCACAAGAAATGGCTGCAATAACATGAAGGGTACAGATGTGCAAAACAGCCACTTGGTTGTGCAGCAACACTTGAGAAGAATTTCTTCCTTACTTGCCATTCACCCGGTTTCCCAACTCTCTTGGGGGGGGCTCACAAAGCTGGACGGTTTCAGTAGGAGTTTTTGGTATCTCTCTTGGTGGCACTTGGAGCTTTGGCTTCAGAACTCACCACGGAATGGTCATGCTTCATCAGGATATGTACTGAAGCCTCAAAAAACTAACTTCTACATTGTTTGGATGCAGATACATTAATCAATCTCAGGCCTATTTGAAATATTCATGAACTTTTTGACCAATGTGCTCTGATTCTTAAGATCATACCTGTTATGGTTCTGTTCTCTGTGCACTGTGCTTTTAAATGTGAAGAGTCTCTAAAGTAGCAAGCATGTAATTATTCATTATTACTGCACTCAACAAACAAAAGTTGACCTCACATTTTTAAAGGAACAGCACCCAAATACACAGAAGACAAAAAAGTAAGAATATAGGACGGGAAAGGGACTCCAGGATCACTGAGTCCTCTGCTATCACAGACAAACACATCGTATCATCGAATATCTTGCTTCATTCTCATAGCTATATGCATCATCAGAACAAATCTCCAAACCAGGTGCATGTCAGATGAATTGGATGTTTCACACTTTGGATTTTTAGTTGCTCTAGATGAGATGATTTACACCCATTAAAGTTCAAGAGTTAAGACTGACATGCCATCCCCACTTCACTAATATATGCAGGGAGTATTGCAGGCCATGTGGTATCAAATCTGAGCACCCACAACTTTCACTCATATTTTCAAAGACTTTCTACAGGTTTCTAACGGTGCTACTTTCCTGGAGGCAGATTTTTAAGTTCCCACATGCACCTGGATGGAGTGTGTGGAGGTGAGGGCTGCAAGGTACCCTATCAAAATTATGAGCTACCACAGGCCACTTTCTTACTGTCTTTGAAGATGAAACAATTGGGTAGTTGCCTATGATCTGTTGAAGGTTCTCTCACTGCCACCATTTTGTGTGAGAAGGAGCAGGTGAAAGAGGAGATGAACAACAATTACCTCATGGGTTGAGTCCGCAGAGCTGTTTTTAAATCTTCAACTATTTTATTCCTCATTTCAGTTTCTTCTTCATCAAAAGCATACAAGGTCTGCATCTGTTTGGAAAGCAGAGAGATTGTTACCAAAGCTAGGGCTAGCTGATGGAAGATCAGAGAAAACAGACTCTTACGCAGCCCAGAGGCTATCAATAAGAAATATTCCACCAAATTACTTAGAGGGGTTTGATGCTTCAAACTGGAAAACTAAGTCTAGATGAGGCTGCTTCTAGTCTTGTGGATTGGCAGTAGTGTGTAGGATAGACCAGTGTTCTCAGATTATCAGAAGTAGCCACAGATGCCTTCAGAAAAATAAAATAATGCTCTTGTGTTTTATCTGAAACTTTCACTTCAATATTTCTGAGAAAACAATTTAATTCTCAGCATTTCTAAGAGGCAAGAATTGCTGCTCATATTTTTCAGACAGGTAGCCCAAAGCACAAAGAGCCAAAGATTTACATTTTCAGTTGTATTTACAGCTGGTCCCCGAGTTACAAACGCATTATGAACCAAACACTTGGCCGTAACTCAGAATGGTCATAACTCAGAAACCATTGAGGTACGTTGCGACCGCACTGTTTGTAAGTGCGGATCACCTTCATAACTCAGAGCCCACATTTATGACCACTTTGGTCGTAAGTGCAGATGGTCGTAAGTTGAGGTGGCTGTAAGTTGGGGACCGGCTGTATTGATTTTGGGAGGCGAAGGTTACTCACCTTGTGCAGTAACTGGAGTTCTTCGAGATGGTGTCCACATGGATGCTCCATGCTTGGTCTTGGTGCCGTTCTGGCACCTGGATCAGAGATTTGGAAGCAGTCCCTGCTGGGCTGCACATGCGCAGCACGAACCCGTGCGTGCCGTGCCAGCTGGCACCACACATGTGTGGCCCGAGCCCTCCAGTTCCTTCTCTACCCTGGAGGTCCCCAGCTCTGAAGCAGAGGGGAGGCAGGTGGGTTCTGGAGCATCCACAGAGACACCCTCTTGTAGGCTCCGCGCTTGGTGACTAACAAGCAGTTTCGCCCCTTGGTGGCTGGGGCTTCGGAATATTGTGGTAAGCAGACGATCATACCGTGGAGCCCATTGCGTTGTCCACCACATAGGAAAGTGCATAGTGCTTAGCAAAGGTAAGTTGTGATGCCCAGGTGGCTGCCTTCCAATGTCCGTTAGTGGCCTGTGGCGTAGATACGCAGTGAAAGCAGATATGGCCCTGGTGGAATGAGCTGTCAAGCATAATGGTAGCTGTAGGCCCTTGAGAGTGTAGAAGATTTTTATAAAGTCTGTAATCCTTTTCGATATAGGTTGTCTCTTAATTGGCGAATGTGAGGAATAGGCAAGGTGATTTTTCTGAAGGGCCTAGTTCTTTCTAGATAAAAAGCCAATTCTTGACGAACTTCAAGGGCAGACTCAAATGCATTTGCGTTTGGCTTTGGGAAGAATACCGGTAGGTTTACAGGTTCGTTTATATGAAATGAGGAAGGAACCTTAGGTAAGTATTTAGGATGTTTGCAAAGGATAACCCTATCAGACTGAAGGTGCTAACAGCTCTGTGAGTGGTATCCTTCCTGTCTTAGCATCTATCTATTTACTTTAATCTGCTTAGGTTCAAATACCCATTCTCCAGATTCTTAATGATGCCCTGTCTCACACACCCCTTCCTTTTTTTTCTTTTTCTCCCCCCTCTCCTATTTATTTAGAGTTTTCATATCCCCTACTCATAACTCCGGTCATCTGAAGAAGTGGGCTGTGCCCATGAAAGCTCTTGATACCATCTACATGTTTTATTAGTCTATAAAGTGCTACCAGACCATTTGTTTTGTTTTTTTTCTGTAAAAGATGGGTCAGCCATGAGTGCCGTTATATCTCTGACACGGTAGGCCGATGTGATGGCAACCAGGAATGCAACTTTCATGGAGAGTTGCAAAAGGGAGCAGGAGATGAAGAGCTCAAAAGGTGGCCTGGTTAGGGTTCGCAGTACTAGCCCAAGATCCCAGACAGGCACTGGTTATATGTTATCATGATGTAAAAGATGCAAACCTTTGAGAAACCTTTTGGTGCTAGGGTGAATAAACACAATTCATCTGTCAATTTTGCAGTGGAAGGCTGTAATGGCTGCTAGTTGTACCTTGATGGTACAACGAGAGCAATGATTGCTTTAAGGTGAGTAGATATTCAAGGATAAAAGACAGGGGTGTTGATTTTGGGTCCTGCCCTTTCAATGTACACCATGCTGAGAATCGCTTCCACTGTAGGAGGCATGGGTAGAATCTTTACAGCTGGGGATGAGGATTGTCCGAACCTGTTCCAGGAGATCTAGTTCTAAATGGGAGAGTCGCAGAGGAGGCATGCTGTTAGATGTAGCTTGTGTAGATCTGTGTAGGTTTGGGTTGTCTGTCCCATAGTGATTAGATTGTGCTGGAGAGGGAGATTGATGGGTGTGTGAATTGACATCGTAAGCAGGAAGAGATACCATGGGTGTCTCGGCCAGGTGGGAGCTATCAGGATGACTGTGGAGCCATCTGTCCTGATCTTCTGAATGATCTTGGCCAGAAGTGGGCATAAGAGAGGTCGTGATTCCATTGGATGAGGGAGGCATCCCCAAGAGATCCTGTCCCTATGCCCACTCTTGAGCAAAACTGAATGCATTTGGTATTGTGTGGCATTGCAAATAGATCTATTGACAGTTGGCCCCATTTGTGAAAAAGGAAGCATGCTATTGAAGGGTGGAGCACCCATTCATGATGTTGGGGAAAGTGTCTGCTGAGAGCTGTCACATTGGAGACCCCTGGTATGTGAACTGCAGAGAGGTGGAAGTTGTGGCTCATGCAAAAATTCCAGTTTTATGGTTTTGGTGCAAAGGGAAGGAGATCTGGCACTGCTCTGTCTGTTGATATAGAAGACACAGGCAATGTTGTCCAGAGAACATGGACATGTTTGTTGGCAATGGCTAGCAGGAAATGTCTGCAAGTATTGTGTATGGCGCGCAGTTCTAAGAGATTTATGTGTTTGGACATCTCTGGAGTAGATCAGAGCCCTTGGGTGGTCTGATCTCAGAGGTGAGTACCTCATCCGGTGGGCAAAGCATCTGTTGTAATCATGTGTGAGGGGCAAGGCTGAAGAAACAGGACACCTGTGCAAAGATTGGCTGGTCTGGTCCACCAAAGGAGCGATGCTGTGACCTTTTACAGTATGGTGAGCAGAAGTGACATGGGGTCAGAGGCTTGCATGCTCTGGAAAACCAAACTTGTAGGCAGCATATTTGAAGTTGAGCATGCAATACTACGAATGTTGTGGCAGACATGTGGCCAAGAAGTAGAAGACAGTCCTTGGCAGTAGTGTGAGAGGAGAAGTAAATCATTGTGGCCAGTGTCTGAATGGTGAGGAATCTTTCGTGAGGCAGATAAACTTGAACCGCTGTGGAGTCTAGGTGGGCCCCGATAAATTGTATGTTCTGGGAAGGGTGAATAGAAGACTTTTCCCAATTAATTCAAAGGTCTAAATTTTGAAAGCACCGTATGGTCACTGATGTCACGTGTGCTGATTCAGTCTGTGATGACACCTTGAGAAGGCAGTCGTCGAGAAAGGGGAATAGGATTATTCCCATGGATAAAGATGCAAGTACTTTGGAGAAAACTCAAAGAGCCGTGGAAAGAGGCGATTTTGGAAAGTTTGTGTGGTCATTCTCGGCATTGAAATTTGTAGGGGGGTTTCGAGGGACTCAATCAAGCATTCAAATTTCCTTGTTGGCCAGTGGCGGTTGAAGGGCCGACCCCGATGACTGTCTTTACCTCTGAGGCTGGGTTTGATTTCTGGTGGGGTTGTTATCCTGCTGTTGGTTAAGATAGGCAGGATAGCATGGTTGCTAACAGGGCCGATATTGGTATTATTGACACCTGTTGGCGGGCATATGTATCCCTAATGTGTGGAGAGTGGCACGCAATTCCTTCATAGGTAAAGAACCTTGTTGGTCTTATCTGCAAATAACTTTTCTCGATCAAATGGTGGGTCTTCCACTGTGGACTGAATCTCATGGAGGAATGTGGCTAGGGAGAACCAGGAGGCTCTACATATCACAATGGTGGTAGCCATGGTCCTAGCAGCTGTGTCCATGGTGTCAAGTGCCACCTGGAGGGCAGCGCGGGAAACGGCGTGCCCCTCAGATACTATAGTGGTGAATTGAGGTCTCTTCGCCTCAAGGATGTTGTCAGCAAACTCGAGGGGTTTGGAGTAATTGCAAAAGTCGTATTTTGCTAGCAAGGCTTAATAGTTTGAAATTCTGAACTGCAAAGTTGCAGAAGTATATGTCTTGCGCCCAAATAGGTCAAGCCTCTTAGTATCTTTATCTGGTGGAGTGGTGTGAAAGCAATGTTTCACCCGCTGGTGTGCAGTTTCCACCACTAAGAAGTTCGGCGTGGGATAAATGAAGAGAAATTCTGAGGTATTTCTTGTCTGCACGCTTGCATATAGGTGGGATTGATGCAGGAGTTTACCAAATTGTGTTGGCTGGGTCCAAAATAGTGGGATTGATGGGGAGCACAATTTCAGAAGATGGGGAGGCTTGGAATATATCTGTGAGCTCATACTAGGGTTGTGAAACTTCCTCTGGCAATTTTAGGCTCAGCCTCAACTCTCCGAAAGAGAGAGTTAAAGTGCTCAAAGTTGTCTGAGGCTGAAGGTGAAGGCAGCATCACGGCCTCGTCCAGTGAAGACAATGAATTGATATGTGGTGATGTATCAGGAGGTGACTCATCCATTGGTTGAGGCACTGGGGGGTCTGACTGTTGCACTGATGAGGTCGTGCATGGTGTAAGAGAGGTATTCTGTTTGTAAGGGCTCAGTTGCATGCTGTGGTGTCTCCTGTATGAGCCCCAGGGCTCCAATATGGCTATTGTACAGGATGAGGTACTGGGGGAGGCATCCAGAGGCCCACACCCTCTTGGGCCATAATGAGGCTTATAATATTGTACCGGAGGGCTGCGGTGCAGAGAAAGAAGGAGGCTTGTACACCTTCCTCATTGGCGCTGGAGTAGTGCAATGACACCGGGGATAAAGCGTGTGATGTC